GATGGGTTCTGGGACAGAAACCAGATGCACGTGTTCAACGTGGGAGGCGTCAAGGTTTGGGAGAGGAAGTGATTGTCGGCTAGTTCTGCTGCGACGGTCACGTTCGCAGGAGTCTTGTCAAGAAAGGTTTTACCGCCCCTGAAGTTGTAAACTTGCGCCTTGTGTATCTTGGAAGCAATTGATTCATCACCGTACTGCACGTCAGTCGACAAACCCTGGTTGTAGGGCTTCATAATTGAGAAAGCTTCATCTCTCCGACATACGGCTGTCTATATGCGTGATTACTGAGCCTGACTCTTTGTATTATTGATTTATCGTTGAGCTACGTCTTCAGTTAGACGCCGCGGCGGACTCTCTGTTGGCTACACTGCCGCTCGCCCGTGAAACGTGGGAAAACCCATTGACCCCATTGGTCTTCATACCTTCCACCTTTCCCTCATCTTCAGGGATGAACTCTTCCACCACATCCTCACTGAGCCCATAACCTCCACCGCCTGGTGTCTGCACGATGATGCGATCACCAGGGTTCATCATCACCGTCGCCTTTCCACCCAAGCTGATTGTTCTTACGGTGTTGTCAGCATCATCCTTTCGAATCCAAAGGTTGACTCCTCGTTGACCCTCCTCGCCACCAGCCATACCATATGGCGCGATGACACGTCGCTCTGACAGAATGCTTACTTGCATTGGCCTGCGGAACTCGATATCACGAACACAGCCATCGCCACCTCGTCTTCGGCCGAGACCACCACTTCCCTTGCGGATAGAGAACTCATGCAACAACACGGGGTAACGCTTTTCCAGTATCTCTGGGTCGGTAATGCGCGTGTTCGTGACGTTCGTGTGTACTCCTGATTGGCCTTCCCAGTGGGGACCTGCACCAGCACCGCCAGCAATCGTCTCGTAGTATCCGAAGCCCTTGGTGACTTGCCCATCCTTATCCGTGCCGCCGTAGCCAAATGTCAAGTTATTGCAGGTACCTTGGCTGGCAGCTGCAGCACGGAATGCCTTGAAGATGAGGTCGACGATGCGTTGAGAGGTTTCGACGTTGGATCCAACGGTTGCAGCCTTGAGACTAGGTGACAAGAGGGTGTTTGGTGGACAGTAGATCTCGATGGGTGCCAAACATCCTTGGTTCAGGGGGATATCTGAAGAGATCATACAGCGCATACAGTAGATGATGCCAGAGTACATGACAGCTGAGGGTGTGTTCTGCGAAATCAAGTCAGCCTTTGCCGCCACAAATCCCTACAGAGCAGACTCACCAGGTTGTTCAACGCCTCCGGTCCGGTTCCCGTGAAGTCGAATTTGGCGGATCCGTCCTCTCCATTGATGGTCACCCGCAGAGCCAGCGCCGTTCCATCATCCAGGTAGTCAACAGCTTTCAGGGGATGTCCGCGGAACCGGCGGCTGAAGGTCTTCAGCAAGGCCCGGACGCTCTCCTCGGCGTTCTTCTGAATGGCTTCCATGTAGAATTCAACCACCGGCCACGAGTATTGTCGGACGAGATCTTGGATTAGGTAGATACCCCGATTGTTAGCAGCAACTGAGGCCTTCAGGTCGGCGATGTTGTCTCGCAATGTCCTCGTTCCACTGCAGCCAGGATACTGCGCAGGCTTTACGTAGAGCTCCTCTACCAAGCCCTCCTCATTGAAGACTCCTCTATCGACCATCTTGAAAGACTCAATAGCAGCACCTTCTTGCCAAAGCTCAGTGGAGTTGGGTGGCATTGAACCGGCAAGGATGCCTCCAATGTCAGCGTGGTGACCTATCAAGAGTTAGCAATTGGCTCATACGAACGAAGCCCATAGATCAAACCTCTGTTTGCCACAAAGAACATAATTCTCGTCGGGTTGTCGTTGTCGTCAAAGACTGGCGTGATGACAGTAAGATCTGGCAAATGCGTTCCTCCGGCACAAGGGTGGTTAGAGAGAATGACGTCTCCGGGCTTGAGACCATCTTTGCCGTATTTCTCCGCCTGATACCTGATCGCCGTGCTCATTGAGCCAAGATGACCGGGAATGTGGGGTGCGTTAGCAACAAGTCCGCCGGATGCCGAAAAGATCGCACAAGAGTAGTCCAGTCGCTCCTTGATGTTCGTGGAGATTGAGGTCTTTTGAAGAGTTCGCCCCATCTGCATTGTGTTAGATTTGGCCTTGCAATTACTGTCAGTGGCGGTGACGTACCTGTTCTGCGATTGACATAAGACGGTGACCAAAAACAGACAACTTGATCGGGTCGACCTCGTCCGTTGACGTCGTCTTCTCTTCTCGGCTGACCAGGTCAATGACCAGATGTGAGTCCAGAACGACGGCATGGCTGTCTTGATCCAAGATAATCGTCTGAGTCGCGTCAAAAACCACTGCAGGGCCCTGGACTTTGCTCAACTTAGGCAAGTTGTCAATGTGACAAACAGGCGCATGTGTCCAGCCCAATTTCTCGAAGTATATCCTCTGAGTCTTCGCATTGGTTGCATCGACGTGAGGGAACTGTTCTGAGCCTGCCATCTGTTCAAAAGGGTTCGATAAAGGAAGCTCCATAGCCTTTCCGACACTACGGACTCGGACGTCGTCAACCAGGATATCTCTCTCCTGGCTGAAACCAAACTCTCTATGATGACGGGTGACAAAGGCTGCGGCGAAGTCTCCATCCTCTGGTTCGGGGATCATCAGAGCTGTGTCGCTGCCCCGGTATCTCATGTTGAGGAACTTCTCGTGAGACACTCGATGAGCCGGAATGCCCTGAAGCTCAAGGTCCTTCGTCCCTTGCGAAGAGACGGACGCAAAACGCTGAGTCAATCTCTCCTGAGCTTCCGGGCCATACGTCACGGCTTCCGGCTCTTGGCGCTCAACGACAATATCAGCAAGTGCCATACCAAACGCTGACAGAATACTGGATAGTCGGTGGATCAGAACGCGATGAATGCCGAGATCTCGGGCAATGGCAACGGCGTGTTGGCCTCCTGCGCCGCCGAAGCAAGCAAGATTGTGCGCCGACGCCTCGAAACCTCTACCTTCGCTCAATGTACGGATCGGTCTCGCCATCGTGGCATTGGCAACCTGAATGAACCCCATCGCGACTTCCTCCGGCGTGAGCTTGTCGCTACCATGCTTGTCCCGGTTGACCTGGTCCGTGAGCGCGAGGAACTTCTCTCGGACGGTGTCGACATGAAGTTTGCGAGGGAAGTACTCCGGTAAAATCCTGCCCAGGAAGCAGTTGGCATCCGAGATCGTCAATGGGCCCCCGTTTCCGTAACACGCTGGGCCCGGATATGCGCCGGCAGAGTCAGGGCCGACTTTGAAGAGACCACCGTTCCACTCTAAGATAGACCCACCACCGGCAGCAACAGTGTTGACATCCAGCTGGGGACATTGGATGGGGACTTCGGCAACGGTGCTTTCAAAGACGTGCTCAAGCGTTCCTCCATAACGGGAGACGTCAGTGCTGGTCCCTCCCATGTCAAACCCAAGAACCGGGGTTCCCTCCTTTGCATCATAGCAAGTCTTCGCATATCCAATGACACCGCCAGCGGGGCCGGAAAGAATGGCGCGAAGACCGGTGAAGTCACTGAACTTGACCAGACCGCCATGCGATTGAGAAAGCAAAAGCTTATTTCCGTCCTCATTCATCAGCTCGCCCTTGAAGCCCTTTCGGAAGCTGTCCAGATAGTTCTCCGTGATGGGTGATAAGTAGGCGTCGGCGGTGGCGGATTGAGCACGAGGAACGATGTTGATCATGGCCTGAAGTTGAGAAGATAATGAGACCTTGAAGCCCATCTCTCTAGCGATTTCACCAATCTGTAGTTCATGGTCTGGAAAGTTGTAAGAGTGCATCAGCGCGATGGCCAAACTGCGATAGCCCTCATCCCAGACGGCTTGCAAGTCTTTCTTGACGGCGTCTGCGTCCGGCTTCTTGATGCACCTTAGCACCTCACCATTGACGCCGGTGAACAGACTTGGGTCTGAGGCTATATCGATAACGAGGGAGTCCGGATCTTCTGAAGAGCCTTCGACGGTGATTCTCTCATCGACTTCCACGACCTTCTCATAAAGGCGATCCAGTTTCTTCACAGCTAAATCGAACAATCGTGGTCGGGCCTGGTTTCCGATAATGAGAAGGTCTCCGAATCCTTTCGTAATCAGCAAGGCAACTCTCTCGCCCTTGCGCTCGAGTAATGCATTCGTGGCGACAGTTGTTCCCATGCGTATGCTCTCAACCGGTGCCAAGTCTAGTTGGGTTCCCTTGGGGATTGACGATCCTGTGGCAGTTTCCAAGATGCGCCTGATGCCCTCGGTAGGAGCATCGTCATATTCATCTGGACATACAGACAGAAGCTTGAAGACGAGGTCTTCTTTATGACCAGGAATTCTTGCCCAGCTAAAACGAGTTGCGTGTTAGTTGATCGCGCTTCTCCCAAGCTACAGAGGTGATGTTGGCTGCTTGCTAGGGATGAACTCACAAATCGCAAAAAGTACCGCCTCTGTCTATCGCAATACGAACTCCCTCTTGGGAGATTGCTGATGGCATCTTCAAAGTTGTTCAATAGTGTTGAGCTTGATAGCATCTGCTCAAAACAGCATCTTGCACTCAATTCTCCATGCCTTGTCCTATATTCGATATAAGTCAACTTCAACTCGGCTTCAGCATCATTGTGCCGAGACTCGATCGGCAATGCTTGCCGGCTTATCGAAGCTAAGTCGGTTTGTCAAATGAAGTGCCGATCGAATCTGATAACAGCTGATAAGGATCGGATGAGCTACCCCGGCGACCCTGCGCCAAGTGAGCCTTATCATCTGCGCCACCCTAGCGTGTAGGGCGATAAACAGGCATCAACAGATATGAGGATTGCCGTGGCGCGCCCGCCAACTAGGGGGGATGATAGTTCTCCAGACCTGTTGAGTTGTGCATAGAGATATATCTACAGTAAATGCCGACTTCGGCTTCTTGACGATGCGACGCCAGTTTCCATCTTTGGTCGGCTGCAGGACTGGATTACCACAATGAGTGCAGACAAGCAACTCGACATCAAGACCGGCAGCAGCCAGGATGGCCAGGGTAACGATGTTAGCGAGGGCCATGAGGTTTCTGCCTATATCGACCCGGTCAAGGAGGCTAAGATGATGCGAAAATTCGACGTAAGGAGATTCGTGTCTCGTTACGTGTGTCCATGCTGACCTATTTACCTGTAGATCTGGGCGATCGGTGGCCTCGGAATCCTGTACATGTTGGCCAACCTTGACAGGCAAGCCGGCCATCAACTACTACATGTGGATTCGCAATAGCTAACAGATTGACAACAGGAGCAACATTGGAAACGCGCAGATCGCCGGCCTCCCAGCAGACCTTGGTTTGACTGGCAACCAATATGGCACTGCTGTCACCCTTCTCTACGCTACATATGTGCCATTCGAGGGGCCCGTTGCTATTCTACTCAAGATCATTGGCCCCAAACACTTGCTCACCTTCTGTTGTCTCGCTTGGTAGGTTGCATCCACATCCATTCTAGAAACACGCGAATAACAAGAGCGATCTTCAGGGGTATCGTTTGCTTAGGCACCGGCTTCGTCCATAACTGGCAAGGACTCTACGCTTGTCGTATGCTTATTGGCTTCTTTGAAGCTGGCCTCATTCCTTGCATCAATGTTTACATTGGGATGGTGTACAAGAAGTCTGAAAGGGGCAAGAGGTTGGTTGCACCGAACTTGCTGATGTTCATTTGGCTCATCATCGCTCTAGATCGTCTATCATCTTTGCCTTCAGTGCAATTGCCAGCGCCTTCGGTGGCATTTTCGCATATGCATTGACTCAAATCCGAACCGGAACATACTTCTCGACATGGAGAGCCCTCTTCATCATCGAAGGTTGCATGACGATTGTCATCGCTCCGCTCTTCTGGCTGTTCTTCCCTGCCACACCGAAGGACGCCTGGTTCCTGACGCCCGAGGAGAAAGAAATGATGAAACTTCGCTACGAATTGGAGCCATCTTTTGGTATTGATGAAGAGTTCAGTTGGAAGGCTGTCATTGATGGCTTGATCGATCCCAAGTTCCATCTCCAGTACGTCTACGATGCAACTTGAAGCTTCTCGTTCACAAAGCTAACAAGTTCAATAGCTGGATCTTCCAGTTCGCTGTCGACATCTCCCTATACGGTTTCACAACATTCCTCCCAGCCATTGTCAACGGCTTGGGTTACACTTCGGTTACCGCGAACCTGATGACGGTTCCCATCTACGTCTGGGGCCTTATCACTTTCCTCTTCACAGCCTACATGTCCGACAAGACTGGGAATCGCGGATACTGGATCGGTGGTCCTCTTATCTGCCTCATCATCGGATACGCGTTGCTAATTTCCGTTGATAACTTGGGTGTCAGATATTTTGCCTGCTTCGGTGTGTTCCTCCGTGCCAAAAACTTCTCAATGCATCGAACCTTGCTAATTTAAGTGAACAGTTGCTGTGATGGGAATTTACCCTACAACAGGAATGAGTCTGATGGTGAGTGGAAATCCTGCGTTGACCATCAACAGATGCTAATCAGTTCAACAGTGGCTCAGCGACAACGCCGCACAACACTTCAAGAGAGCCACCATGGTTGGTGGTGCCCTGACCCTTGGCAACACTGCTGGAGTTGCAGTGGGTCAAATCTTCGTCAGCTCGGACAAGCCCCGATATATCCGGGGATTGTCTATCGCTATGGGTCTCGCGGCAGTTGCATTGGCGTGTGTTGCCGCTCTCATGATAGGAATGCATATTGTAAACAAGAGGCGCGCAGAGAGAATCAGGAAGGCGGAGGAAGAGGGTTCTCCTCTGCCGAGCATCCCCGAGAAGGGAGACTTCGATGTGTACTACAAGTACACTCTGTAATCACAAGCTGTTGTCTGTCGAGCCTCATTTTCGTTTAAACACTTTCAAATAATTAGCAATGACTTTAATGCGAAAGTTTTCAAAAGAAACTCCAACAGAGTATTGCTTTCAAGCTGTAATCTTCAAGAAAGAAACAAAGCCCGAAGATTGGGTTGCATGGACTAACGATAAACAGCCCATGGCGCGCGTTAGCGATGATAGGGGTAGATACAGGGGAGATAGGCCCGGCACTTTCTTCCAATAGCAGCTGTCGTTCCTTATCGTGGTTCGTTCCCCCGCAACAACTGGGGTAAGGATGCGGATCTAAATACCAGATCCACTCCAACAGTAGTCTCCACGCCGGATTCTCTCCATTTCGCTGTTCAATGTTGTCGAAAAGCTATGGTAGGTCGGAGTCATGGCATCGCCTAGTGAGTCCTCGGGATTGCGTGCTTCGAAGCGGCTGAAACGCAGCGTTGTAGCTTGCCAACGATGCCACGCTCAGAAGATCAAGTGTACCGGAGGCACTCCGTGCAGGGCCTGTGACAGGTCCAATGATATCGCTGCTTGTCTTTATCCAGTCCGCGAGAGAAAGATCTCAGTCTTGGAAAGGTAAGCTTTGCCAAGAAATTTTGAAGATTTAAGCTCATTATTTGCAGCTACATAAAACAACTTCAAGACGAGAATGAGGAGCTTAAGCGGAAGACATCTCTCCCATCTCAGGCTAGTCCGTCAGCAAGCCAGGTGTCGGACCAGATCGTGGTCAACACAGAAGCTCACGAAGAAAAGGAGGAGGAGGAGGAAGAAGAAGAGATCTCCACCGCTGAAGTGGTCCATCCCGTCATTGAACAGCGGATATGTGATCCTGCAGCGCCACGGCCAGTTTATGTCGGCGCTGCCGCGTTTACTGCCTTCGCCAACATCTTATGGCACGATGGTCCTACACCACCAAGGAACGTCAAAGTCTTCAAACATCCAACCCTTCAACGAGCCATCAAGACCGACTACAAACTCCCGAACTACACCTACGCCAATCTTCTTGTCCAAGTTGTCTTGAGATTTATCGGAAGTGATTACCACTTGCTGAAGAAGAAGTCTTTCTCTCAGAGAGTGGATCGGCTCTACGGCCCCGCAACGGAGCAAACTCCGGACACCATGTTCCTCTGTCGGCTGTTCGCAGTCTTTGCCCTCGGTGAGCTGTATCTCAAAAAGTCGACATGTCAGCGAGAAGTGCCAGGTGCGAAATTCTTCTTGCAATCAGTGTCGTTATTTGAGGAGTTGTACGAGGAACCCAACATAGAGTACATCGAGACTCTGCTGCTGATGGTGAGTCGCTGATTGAAATGGCCCTGGTTTCAAGTGATCTAACATGGACGCAGTGCTTTTACTCGCATGCCTTGAACAGACAGAACACGGCATACACATATGCGGGCATTGCGTTACGACTGAGTGTCACTATGGGTCTTCACAGAAACATCACGTATGACCCAAAAACGCCCCCAGTTGAGATCGAAAATCGGCGGCGCGTCTGGTGGACCGTATACACCTTCGATCGTCTATGCAGTGCAAAGCTGGGCCATCCGGTGATGATCAAAGATGAAGATATCGATGCCCCATTTCCCTCATCGGACGGCCTTTCTGCCGAGGAGCAGGAGGAGTTCGTGGACGCGGGTCAGCTCATCGCCAACATCAGATTGGCCCGCATCACTGGTCTACTTTTAGACCACACTTACAAAATTCACTCGCCCCACGAAAAGACTTTTGTGAGCAACGTTCATAGAATTCTCACGAGTCTGAAGGAATGGGATGCGACACTGCCTCCTGAATTGGCTCTCGACCACAGCAGAACCCCCTCGTACAGCACAAGGGCAGTCGCTTCTTTGCGACTTCACTTCAACCAGGTATGTTACGATTGAAGCCAAGAATTACACTGAATACTGACGACTTTACTTTTTAGTGCGTGGTATTGACAACGAGGCCTATCCTCCTCTTTCTCTTCAAATACTACATGCGCCAATCTCAAACTCCGTCATCGCCATCATCAGAGTCTACGAAGGTGCTGCCGCCAATGACAATTGCCTTGGGGGAGGCCTGTATATATGCTGCTAGAGCATCCAATCGACTCCTGAAACAGCTCTGGGTGGACGGGGCCATTGCAACCTTCGGATATTTCGACGCTCACTTCATATTCTCATCCACCATCATACTCATCCTCTCAAACATTCTGAACCCGAACGATGGCGACCGTAACTCCGTCGACTTAGCGTGCACGCTGCTGCAGTCCATGGCCGACGACGGTAATCTCCCAGCCGCCGAACTTCGCGACCGACTAGCAACACTCAAGGAGGACCTCGAGAGCAAGTATGCCACTAGCAGCTGCCAGGTTACAGGTCCAAAACAAGGGTACATGACAGCTGCTGGTACCTTCGCCGCGCACGTTGCCCCGACCTCGAGTCGGCGAAAGGGCGACCCCAACAGATCGCAGACTGGCCAGACACCCTCAACAACAACAAGCCCCACAGCTGAGGTCTCCTCGGTAGGGAGAGCTCCCTTCGATGATCCCTTTATCCAAGACTTCCTGGGCCAGCCATACTCAGAGTGGAGTCCGAGTGCTTTTGACATTACGAATGATGAAATTGGCGTTTCTTCTTTGGCTTGGGATATCAGAACGACGAATGACATCTAATATGTACGCGGTCTTTGGAGTTGAGGAGCTCTCATGATGTTTCAGCTCAGAAAACTACGTTCCATCTCTATATTTATATCGTATTCAGACTTTATTCACCGCAGTCACCTTGGTCTTGTCGCCGAAGAACCACTCTTCAAGGTTCGTGAGCGTGATCTTGTCAAAGTTATTCCAACTCGTTCCGGAGCAAACACCAATGTGGGGCAAGAGTGTCGTGTCGTAGTTCTCCTTTAGCTTTGGGTTCAACGTGGGTTCGGCCGCATGAACATCAAGACCCAAGCCAACCACGCGCCCCGATTTCATCGCATCCAGTAATGCGTCCTCGTCAATAAGGCCGCCACGTGCAATGTTCACGATACGAACCCCTTCAGACTTCATGATGTTGAATCGACTTGCAGACAGCATGTGCTTTGTTTCGGGTGTTAGTGGACACGCTAGGCAGATGCAATCCGAGACTCTCAATAGTGACTCAAGAGATTCATGGTAGACGGCCTCGGCACCAATTCTTTGGAGATCCTCCCGCGGTTTCCGATTATGATAGTGAACCTGTTAAAGCGTTAGCCAACGGTATGGCGGGAGTGCTTGCCGTTAGCTTTTGTCTACCTTCATATCCAATGCCAAGGCGGCTTTACGAGCGATGGCAATACCAATGTCGCCCATGCCGACGATGCCCAGAGTCTTGCCCGAAGGATCTACGGCCATAGTGCCAATACGACGGCTCTCAATCCATCGATCATTTCGTGCAAGATGCTCTGCGAGAGTGAAGTATCGGAATGAGTTCAAGATGAGGTGCAGTGCCGTATTAGCCACGGCCTCGGTGCACGTATCCGGACAGTTGGCGTAGGTGATGCCCTTTGCTGTGAGGGCAGGAATGTCAGCGGCATCATAGCCATGACCGCTGCAGCAAATGAGTTTGAGCGATGGTGGATATTTGGCGACAGCGGGCCCTCGGAAGAGTTGATGGGTTGCGAATTGCCCAGCTTTCAACCATCCTACCCGGACAATGGCGTCGATGGCTGAGTAAGGTCCACCTGGAGCAAGACGAGAGCAAAATTCTTTCTCATCTTGACAGTCGTATTTAATGATATTAAAGCTTGATCGTATACGATCCCACTGTTCTGTTTCGGCACCTCGGACGCTCGATTCAACGAGCAGAATGGTGGGCTTGCTTGCCTTTTGGGATGCTATGCTCCCCATAGTTGCAGGGTTTGTGGAACGATACTGTGTGCTCTTCTCGTGTCTACCAAGCAACTCGGATTAGCTCCCGACCTTATGTCACCAGCCGGAACGTTAACGCGGGGGGCATTTCCCATGTGCCTATCGTTGTCAGTGATGCTGTAATCTGGTCAGGTGCCGATAGCTAGGATGACGGCCTGGGACACTCGGCACATAGGCCGAGATCGGCAATCGGTATCGCTGCCGGTGCGGGGACTTCTGCTGGGCCCAATTCCGGTCCGCCTACGGCAACCAGCACCGGTCGGATGAAGCAACAAAAGAATCATCACGTTCAAGGCAGCTTATTGACGTCTAATGAGCTGCAAAAGTCTGCAATTTGCTCTTTGATTTCGTCAACACCGACAACTCTCACATGCAAGATGGCGAGCTCAAAGGAGCTTCCTCCGGTTGTGGAGTTACTGTCACAGCTCATGTCAGTCGAAAGCACCAGCGACGAAGAGCTTGAAGTTGGTTTATTTTTGGAAGACTACTTGAAATGTCTTGGGTATACGGTTGAGAGAATTGCCATTGCACCGGGCTCAACACGGCACAATGTCTATGCATATTTGGGCGCTAAGCGGGAGGCGCGCATCCTGCTAACCTGCCACATGGACACCGTGCCGCCCCACATCCCGCTGTCGATCGACTTAAACGCACGAATAGTAAGAGGTCGTGGAGCTTGTGACGACAAGGGCCCGCTGGCTGCTCAAGTCATGGCAATCGAGGAGCTTCGAAAGGAAGGCAAGATCAAAGATGGAGACATCAGTTTCCTATTCGTCGTGGGCGAAGAGAAGGGAGGCCCCGGGATGATCGCCGCCAACGACATGGGCTTAACCTGGGAGGCTGGCATCTTCGGAGAGCCTACTGAGGGAAAGTTAGGGAAAGGTCACAAGGGCCATGTTGTGTTCGAGTTGACGGCGACCGGAAAGGCTTGGTAAGTTAGATTTTGTTAGAGTTTCACCGAGTGAACGCTGGCTCTAACACTCTACGCAGTCACTCAGGCTACCCCCATCTAGGGAGCAACGCCATATCGTTGTTGATCAAAGCCATGAGCAAGTTGGAAACAACGGATTGGCCCGTCTCAAATCTCCTAGGTCCCTCGACCTTCAACATGGGCAAGATCGAAGGAGGAGCCGGTTACAACGTCGTGGCTGCGGAGGCAAAGGCCTTGTGTGCGGTTCGTGTAGCTGCCGATCTATCCCAGATCAAGAAACAGATTGCAAGTGTTGTGCAAGAGTTTCCGGGAGTTGGAGTTGACTTCAAATTTGAATACCCCGAAACTCTGTTGGACTTCGACATTAGAGGGTTCGAGTCCGCCCCAGTCAGTTACGGAACAGATGTTCCGAGACTCAAAGGGTCGCATAAGAAGGTGCTGTATGGACCGGGTACAATTTTGGTTGCTCATGGGAAGGACGAACATGTCATCATCGACGAATTGTTGGAAAGCGTCGACGGATACAAAAAGCTTACACTCCATTTTTTGTAATGACCAAACTATTCCCAGTACCATCTTCCATCCAGGAAAGACATTGGCTAGCCATCATAGTAAGCGTACCAGTTGACCCAGGTGACTGGTATTGCTTCCGATTTGTTAAGGCCGAAGAGGGGTGTCTGCAATTCTTGTACTTGGGTGATTTTCAGTAGCATCTGATAAACATTCTCCTGTGGAAACATCACAGCTTCTTGTGACTGCTCGCGGTGACTGATTCAGATATCGTTCACCAACTCAACTCCCAATGCCTTGCTGACTGATACCTGCAACGAAGTAGGCATGGAATCTCTTACATCCCTGAATAGCGTTACTCTATCGTCCTCTGGAATCGCGTGGAAAAAGTCGTTGACAGCGACGACCATGTCTTGAGCGTTGGCCTCCATAACAGTATTCCACCCGCCAGCGTATCCGAGCTCCTTGATCAAAGTGACCAGATTACTCCCCATCCAACTGCGGTGACTTACCCTCCTATAGTATTCCTCGTCATACCTCAAGCGAGTGAGTAGTACGACCAACGGCGAGCATGCAATGGTACTATGGTCGTCAACTGCCAATTTTGCACCTTTTTCAATCGACTCGGCGAATTTCATCTCTAATGCCTTCAATACGGCTTGAGCTTATCATAAACACCACGGCAAGGGTTCCGATGGGGCATTGCGATAAAGACTCGACATCCTTGTCGATAGGACGCAGCCATTGGAACGGGACATCGGGGATACCCATCCCGACAAGCTGGATCAATTGCAGCAAACTTTCCTTCGGAAAAAGGCTGTCAATGCCAAAATGGTTCATACCAAGAAGTTTTCTTAGGTACGCCTCATGATTCAGATGGACGCAATCGATGATGCAAATAATATTGAAGGATGCTTGCATTTCAGCAAGAAAATGGCCTTCCCATCCAGCTCCCATGCGAGGGGCTTCTTCCTTCGTGCAGTCAACAAATTTGTCGAGGATGTGGTAAAAGGTGCTCTCGATGGATGTGATTGGATATCTCACGTAATTCATCAAGTCTGCGTTCGCCGTTCTGGCGTAACCTCTCAACGTGTAAATGTGCTCTTCGTGCATCGGCTCGAAGGCAAATGCCGCGAGTGAAAGCTTCAGGCTCGATTCAAAGCGGACATGCCCGCCTTCATCAGCAGTTTCGATCCATGCTATGTTCTCTGCTTTTTCCAGTATGGCAGAACAGCAGTCAGCGTCAAAAGCGAGGGCGAAGTCGAGGGCGTTGTGGTGTGATACGACGGCATCATTATCCACACGGAGTTGCCATGACTTGGTCGCGTCAGCCCCGTGAGACAGCAAGTACACGACCATGGACTTGTTCTTCGCCGCAATGGCATGGTGTAGCGGTGTCGCGAGATTGTCATCTAGTCTGTCGATGTCCACACCCCATTCTCTCGTCAGATATTTGACTAGAGACCTGTTGCCGAATGCCGCTGCAACGTGAATTGGGTGTATATCCTGGACGAAGGCTTTCCGGGCTGGATCATGAAACCAGGCGAAAGGTTTATGCTGGTCACCATGTTCGGTCGCTTCGCTATCTTGTAACTCTGTGAACTCATTTGGGTACGAGGCGGACCCAACCGGTACGACCAGATTGCGATTGGCCCCGGCTATGAGTAGAAGCTTGGCAACTGAAGTATGTCCACCGCAAATGGCGTGGTGTAGAGGTGTCCAAGCAGGGTAATCGGACATTGGGTGGCGATGGTCTGCGACCGGCCTGGGTACTGGTACGCGACTCCCCACAGGCTTGCAGTTGCAGATAAGTCTGCCAGCAGCGTTGATATCTACCCCCTGCGCAACAAGCCATTTAACAACATGGTAATGGCCCTTATGCGCGGCCAGATGAAGAGGTGTGGCCCAGCAAGCCTGGGGTGGGAGAAGTTCCCGGAGTGAGGACGCCCATCTGTGTTCCACTTCTTCTGTTGGGTCTGCGAGATAGAAATCTTGGAGTCTTGCGCCATACTTGGCTGCGACCTGCAGAGTTTCCAGATTGCCCTTGGCAGCGGCGAAAATAGTGATCTCGGAGGCCCAATGTTTGACAGCAGCACGGTAAAGCTCGGCTTGGAAGATGCTATGAAGGTAGCGATTGACCCGTGCAAGGGCCGCCGTCCTGGTCTTTGATCTGCTGCGGAAGTGTCGGGCTATCTCTAGCCATAGCTCCGGAACAAGTAGGGAAGCATCCACCATGACTGTTCTGGCGATGACGCGTTGCCGTCGTGGTGAAAGGGGTCGGTGTGAACTGTGTTGCCGTGACTGAACATGGGCTAGGGTTATTGTCAGCAAATTCTGCACGAATCTCATATGACGGTCGTAGAGTTCGAAATTTACCCTCGAAGAAGTAGAATATTGGCGGATCTAGGTGAATGTGGCCACCGTACGCAAGGGTGTTCAGTTGGAACCTGGCCCAAGATGTTGATCGTTAACGTCGTCAGTAGAGAATGTGAACTTATTAGGGGCAGGCACGGATAAAAGACGGATCAGTGGGGCCTCTTGCGCGATCCAATTGGATTCCATTGCTCTTTTGGTGGCTTGGGACCTAAGCAGTGCTAGCGGCCCTTCAACAAGGACGTGTGTTTCTTGTACAACAAGCCTGTGGATTCTTGTAGTTCAATTTGAATTCGGCGCGACTGCAAGCTCTACCCTGCATCAATGGCAATAGCATGAAATATAATTGTATATTGCTTTTTGATCCGTCAGGTCGAAGCCTTCGTCGTACCCATGCAGCAGTTTACCGCCTGCTGGGATCCCTTTTGGGACGGTTTAGCGTTGATTGTAGCGAAGGCTTAGACACATGCAGAATCGAGATCACAACCGCAGACAGAATTAAAAGCTTTGGTGATTCAGCTTGCCACTTAGGTCATATTCATGAGTTAAGACGTATCAAGATTAGAGCAGCCAGGACTATCGATAGATGGCAAACATCTCACTTCTTTACTCGGAGGCCGAGTTTACCGCATGCCGCTAACATTGACCGGGTTCCCCGCAATTTTTAGCACCGCATGTCGCCTATGAGCTCCCTAAAATCAGCGCGTTGAAAAGAAAAGACATGACACTCTACTTTCACGTTTCCAATCACAAGCGTCAAGTAGCTCGTCTTGAGAGCACCTACCATGGCCAGTATGTCATCATTAAACTCTGGGCTTGTGTCCGAAGCCACTACTCCCGGTTCCAGATCTCGAAGAGGGTAAGAAATCTCATTCGACGGCTTGAGCAGCACCAAGGCTCCGTCCTGCAAAGTGCCTTGGCACATCACGAAAGTGGATACGGCTGCGGTCCCCCTTTCCCGCCTGTCTTTCTGGCTCGCCCCTGGTGGATGAGATCAAGCTTTCGAGAACTGATGTGCTCCAGGTGTTGGACGTGTAAGAGGCGCCGTAAAAAATGCGACGAGATCAAGCCGAGCTGCAACCGATGCGCACATGCAAACCTTGCATGCGAAGGCTATGAGACTCGATTGACCTGGGGCTCTTCAAGCGGAACGACTTCTAAAGGTGGCATCATCCTCAAGCCAGTCCGCCCGCAGAGCTCAAGTAGAAGGGTCTCACAACAGCGAACACAGTTGGAGGAAAGCGCGCAAACCACCGCCGACAGCGGTAACTCTGACACAATATCATGCGAGGATCGCCAAAACTCTTCAATGACAGCTTCAGACAAGTCGAGGAGTCCGCCTGACAAGGGGTTGCTTCCAGCAGTTGACGACACGACAACAAAATTACTGGTCGACCAATGTATGTTAGTGCCATTCAATGGAAATTTCCACGGGCGGCCGACTCTGATAGTCTGCGAAAGCGGATATCTGACTTTGACCGGAAGGTCTGGCGACGGAGGACTCATGAAGTCAGACATTCTACCCATGAGAAAGACTTCGACTTCGCTCTGCAATACCTTTGCAGCATATCAGGCGAGCCTGACAAACGAATACAGACATCTAATGCCAGTTTATCTACAGCTTGGTATTTCGGGTTACATCAATGACCTTCAATCCCCAGACAACCTTCATCGAGACGAAATTCTTGCCACGGGAGTCCTCTTATGTAGTGTGAGCGTAAGTTTCGATGAACTCTACATATCACAGAGTCTGACGATTGCGCGGTTAGATAAATGGCCTCTACAAGTGGACTACCTTACTCAAAGGACTTCATACCGTTTTACAGCAACGAAAGCTTCTAGAGACAACGACTCAATCGCCCCTCGTCGGTCATCTGATCGAAGTCATCGCACTTCTTGATGTTCCACATTTCACGTTAAATCGGAGCACGGAGTCGCTAAAGATATGGCCCGCATACTTGACTCAGCGTCATTTGACGGGAGTCCAAGAAACCTCTGGCCTGCCGTACTCTCTTCTAGACCTCATCTGCAATATGGACTCTCCCGACGCTGAACAGAGACTTCGCAACTGGCCTGGAGAGCTATGCCGCGAACTGGTCCAAATTCACTTGTGGGAAGCGTTCCGTACTGCGGCAATACTTCATTGTAGAGCTTTACGGTCTGCGACAGAGAATAAGGCAAATAGTGCAGCGGCGGGTTTTGGCGACGAGCTGACTGAGATGAGGGCATTGGCTGCCTGCCAAGCTGTCATCGACTCGAAAGGTGACTCGTTCCCTGGTGTGCCACACCTAGCTGCTGCACTTATGTACCCTCTCTTCATAGTATGTCTATCCACGAATCAGGACACTGTTGCTAGGTCTCTTTCGCGAGATCTCTTCTCGAACGTCGTCAGAAAGTGGGGAGACCACGAAATCCGATTGGCTTGGGACATTGTCATCGAGGTTTGGCAAAGGTCTACAATGCAACCAGGGGCTTGTCGGTTGAAGCTGGCGGAAGCCTTCGTCGCAGAGTTGGACATTGAGATGTATTTATACTGAAGGCTTTCTGCTATTTCTAGGCATGTTACACTCTGGGACATATTACAGTCGCTGAATACATGTATTCGGCGCAAGGTCTGGCAACAGGTCACACCAGCTTGAATGCGTAGCTTGACGCAAAATCGAATCCCATCGCTGTCGATTATCCGAGTGTCAGGTAACGGTCTCGATCGCAAACTCTGTATCAAGTGATCTCTGAAGGATGCAGACAATTTTCGTCCTCTACCATAAGCGAACGTTCGGATCGGGTTCAAATAACGTGCGATTATCACGTCAGGAGCTATCCGCGCCACACCTTTGGTATGATCTCGAAAGTCTGACAGCTTCGGGTAGGAATGCTGCTTAAGCCTCAATGGTCTCGGCAACCAGCCAAATCATCATCGTGCATGGCGTTTTTGCCCGATTTGCTGTGTTGTACTTTGCGGGCCCAATCGAATCCTGGTCACGAATGCAGCAATCTTACTTGAATCGCTCTCTCTGGGCAACAAGACTTCCTCCTTCGGTAAGCTTACCATCCCAGACGTCTGCCACCTGCAACTCCTTCCCGTGCGTAAGCTTATCATACGTACCTAGTCAACGACACAAACAAGCTCATTTGTCTGTGAAACGCCCAGGCTGAAGCTTCCGCACTTCGAGATTGGCTTGAACTAATACGTGTCGGTCTGCCGGATGCTGTCGCGGAACACACACTCCGGCGATATCGACGAATTCGATCAATAACCCCGAGCTTTATCAAAATTCTCAGCGTGCAACATCCGTATTGGTGCTCTGTTTGTCGCGATAATCATCGCAGATTGCGGCGCAGCCACAGTGTTCCGTCCTTCCTTACGGACGTACTGGGGGCGGCCGTCACGTACGTTGGTCCGGCCGTGGTGCTGAATGGGTTCGTTGGCGCCACATGCAACGTTCTGTTGGTGCTTCACGCGGCCAACGGCCCCAATGTAGCATTCGAGGGCGAGTTTGCGGCGACAAACAGTCTCTGCCGCTGCCGTCGGCTTTTTCGGTTCGCCCCGTTATGTCTTTATTTTTAAAACCTAGCGTTGCAATGTGCGTCCGCCGTTGGTTGCGCCGCTGGAACATGGGGGTCTGCGGCTGTGGCTCGACTGGGGGCTGCGGGCTGCAAACTGCATGTCGACAATCTGTTGGTGTTGGTGAAATGTGAGGATCGAGCCGCCCGCCCCCATTCATCACAGATAACAATGCGACGCCTCCCGTGTCTTCGACGGCAGCGGATTTGGTATATTTGCCTGGTGTAGACACCCGAGTTGCAGATTTCTTGTGCCACGCTCGTCTTCAACCTACAACATCCAAAGCACTCTTTGCTTCTTCAGGTTGTGTAGTCATTCAATCAAAGTCTTCCTCTTGTCTGTTCTGTTCCACCATGGAGACGGAACGGAAGCCCACGCCAGACCCTGTCGATAACACCGAACGCGCGAGCACCCATGTTGGCAGTGTGGCACCTGAAGCCAAAGACGTGGAAAGCGTCACTTCAGAGAGCAATCATCCCAGAGAAGGTTGGCCAGCGTGGCGATGGCCGTGTATTCAGGGTGCATTCTGTCTGGTTGGACTGCTTCTTGGTCAGTATTATTTCCATTAATGGCCAGAAGGTTTCGTACAAGACTAACACAAATCACTCGACGGATAGGCTACGATGTCAGTAACACGGCGAACATTCAGCCCCCGATCTACGAGGCATTCGGCCAGGTACATCTCTTGTCATGGGTTGCCATAGCTTACACAGCTATGAACGTCGCAACGGTCCCTCTCGCCCGCAAGATTGTTGTCCTTGGGAACCTGAGGTACCAGGTTCTCGGATATTCTCTTATCTTCTTCGTCGGTTCTACAGTGTCGGGCGCGGCTCCAAATATCAACACGGTGATCATCGGCCGTGCTATTCAGGGTATCGGAGGAGCTGGACTTTACCAACTGTGAGTTATCAGTCCATCACCATAGTGCCCCACGGGTTGATACTAATAGTTTTCCAACAGGAGCATCATCATCAACATGACGTTGACTACACCAACCGAGCTCCCACGCACCCAAGGTCTGCTAGCTGTGTCCTGGGCCATCGGCCTCACGCTAGGTCCCGTCATCGGCGGTGCCTTCGCCGAGAACCACAAAGCTACATGGAGATGGGTGAGTATTTCTTCACACGCAGAACTACTGCAAAATAAATATCTAACAACTTCACATAGGCCATGTACATCAATCTCCCCATGCTAGCCATCATCATGGTCTGCAACCTCCTCGCCCTGCCGAACATGCACGCACCCGGCGCGTTGCCCGTTATCGAGGGCTTGCGCGTTGTTGACTGGACAGGCGTAG